CCCATAACCGAAACAAAACCTTTACAAGAATTGTTGTTGAATATCCCACTCAAGACAATTTGGTTGGTTATGAAGAACAAACTCAAGATTCTAAAGAACTTCTGCTTCATAAGCTAGTATCTTTACGAAGATCCATGAGATAAAGAAAAAGTGTTATTCTAGATTATTATGTGGTATTTTTCCAAAAAAATAAGGAAGATAACAATATGATATTGAAGATGACTCGGTCACCTTCCATCAAGCTATGCAATATCCTAATTCAGAAAAGTGGATTGAAGCAATGAATGAGGAGTATAAGTTCATGTAAGACGATAAAATTTGAGAACTTGTCCAATTACTAGAAGGTGTGAAGCCCATTGGTTCTAAGTGAATATTTAAGACCAAAAGAGATTCCAAAGGTAATGTTGAAAGGTATAAGGCTCGTTTTATGGTTTATGGCTATACTCAAAAGAAAACGATTGAATTTAAAGATACATTATCTCTAGTTTCATTAAAAGACACTGTTAGGACAATCATGACTCAAATTGTAAATTATGATTTGGAGCTTCATCAAATGAATGTCAAGATGATGTTTCTCAATGACAACATTGACAAGACGATTTATATAGTTCAACCAGAAAACTTTGTGTCAGGAAACCCAAAAAATATGGTTTGCAAATTGAGCAAAATCCATTTATGGGATAAAACAAACATCTTGTCAATGGTACCACAAATGTTATCAAGTGATTCTCTCATTTGATTTTGAGATGAATATTGTTGATGATTGTGTATATCACTAATTTGGTGGAAGCAAATACATTTTCTGGTCTTGTATGTTGATAAGGTACTACTTGTCACCAACAATATAGACATGTTGCATGAAATTAAGAGATTTCTATCTAGAAATTTTGAAATGAAAGATCTTAGTGATGCCTTATTTTTATTTTTTGAATTTCTAAAAAAAAAATAGGAGCTTGAGCAAGTCAAAGCACATTGAAATTAAATCCCAGGTTATTAAAGAAGGGTAAAAAGTGGAAAATTTCCATAAAACACTTAAGGATAAACTCCATGATAATAGATCCTCTTACTAAGAGAATTCCACCCAAGGTCTTTCATGAGAATGTTGCTCATATGAGTGTTTTACAATTTGAAGAATCTTTGATTTAGTAGGAATTAGTCACTTTCTTGTGTTTGATGTTTTATGTTTGGTTTTTTATATGCGTACATTATCTTTTGAATATATTTGGTTTTAATAAATACATATGTTTTATTGTCCAAATATTACACTTTGTAGGTTATTATATTGATCTGGTTGAGATAAATTAAGAATCAATTGAAAATAGACGTGTAATTGTACCTTCATATAATTTTCATGCTATACATTTCATGACGAGTCTATGTCATTTGGTTTGATCAGTATTAGTTGACATGTTTAGCTACAACTAATGGAATGAAAAATTGTTTTTGTTCTATATATAGATATAATCAATAGACAAAAACTTTTAAATATGTTCAAAGCATATAATGACAATTTTAAAATCATAAAGTCTAACCATTTATAAGTATTCTAAATATAAATATATATATATATATATATATTACATGATAAATGTGTTAGAGTCACTATATTTTATTAACCAAATACTAAAATGATTTAATAAATTTAATTTATGATTAAAAAATTATATGTCATGAAATATTAATTATATAAAGATCATAAGCAATTTTTTTATTTGATAAGGGAAAAAATTAGAAATATTAAAACTTAAGAAAAAGTATTACATAAATGAGTTATAGTTATAATATGTAAGCATATACATTATTTATGTTTCTTTTATTTTTATTTCTATTAAAAGAGAAAATAAAAAGTTAATATAAGATGTTTTAGCATTGAAAAGATCAAATATTTTTTGGTATATGTTCTTCCCAATAACGAGTTTAGGTACATTTCTACGTATTATTTTATTGGGTATTAGAGATTGTTAATGGTATAATAAGAGTTTTATTGTTATTCCATTATTTGTTTGTTTAGTTCATAATCTAACAAGTACCCATGTGTGATAAATATTGAAATTATAATAATGTTTATAAAAATAGTAATTTATACTACTATATAATATAAATGTACGTTTTGTAGTAATTTTTGATATATTTTCTACTTAAATGATTTTTCTCTTTAATAAAAATAAAAATAATATTTTTCTAATAAAGTAAATAATTGAATAATTTTTAAATTATATTTTTAATGAAACAAAAATATAAGTATACATATATGGAATGAGATGTATTTTCATTATTAACAAGTGAAAACACTTCACTACAAAAATATAGAATTTTAGTCGGGGTTATTTTTAGTATTATCGGGCATTTTCCGCGGTTGTAAAACCCTCTGGGAAAACCTGCGTCGGTAAATAATTACCGGCGGTTTTGTTTAAAACCGTCAGAAATAACAGGGTTTTCCAAAAACCGTCGGAAATGGCTGGAGTTTTCCAAAACCGCCGAAAATGGCAGGGTTTTCAAAAGCCGCCGAAAATGCATGTAAGATATTTTTTTTATATTATTTAGTTTATTGATAAAAAAGATATAATAAAGAAAAACTCGTAATAAAATAATTTGAAACAAAAATTAAATATTATAAAATGAACTAAATATACAAAAATTAAATATTATTAAATACAAGTAATTGTTCAATAATAACATTTTTCAAATATACATTAAAGAAAAACATGTTCACTTAATGAAAAATGTTCATCTGGAAGCTTCTGCACTTCTTCCATGTTCTGAATAGAGCTTTCCTGAGTAAGAGAGCACCAAAGTAGTCAAATAGCAAAAAACAAAAACTCAAAGGGCATAATATAACAAATTTTGCATAACAGAATATATTTCCAATTGTTCATTTCTAATACATAATACAAAGAGTTCGAAAATCACAATAAACATTAAAAAGTTTGTCCTGTAAAAAATATTAAAATTAAATATAATAAAATAAAATGAAGAGATATACAATAAAAAAATTAAGATATTTATTTATATTTTATTTTCTTCACAATTATCTTCTTTAATACTAAAGTTCATTCTTATTGTTTCTCCTAGTTACTCATTTACCAAGGATTATGTTTCATCTCTGAAGAAATAAAAAAAAAGGAAAACAAAATAAAAATTCAATTTTTATTATGTACCTAATAAATCAAGTAAAATATCATAAAGATATGGTTAAAAATGGAGATTTGAATTTAGGAATTAAATTATCATAAAATGTTATTATAAAAGGGCTACAATTTAACACTGTTAACATTCAATGGAGCTCCCCTAACTTTCTAACTGATGTTGGTTTCTATTTAGTGGGAGACTAAAGTTGATGTCAATTCTTTGGAGCATCAGATTGATTTCACATATATATTGGTGGATCACATTAGTGTTTACTCGTAACCAGCTTTATCTTCAATTTCGTTATTGATTTTATTTTTCTATAAAATGGTGCCTTGTAGTCCTCTTACTCTTAACTCCTACTGCTCTGAATTTATCTTGTTTTCATTAAAATAAAATTCGGTTAAGTGATCAATCATAACAAAAGCATTAAAGCAACAAATCAGGTTTTAGCCTGAGGAAATCTTACCTCCTCTGGGCGAAGGTTAAAAGTTTTTCCACCAATAGTAAAAGACACTACAGGTAATGAGGAGATATCCCCGCAACCAACAGAAGAGTTTCCCATCGGGCTTGGCATTTTATCGCAAAGCTGCAACATCATCATGAACCTATGAATCAAGAGGTGTGGAAAGATGCTCCAATAGCAAAATTAAGAGAACTGGCTCACCTGATTGACGTAGTTTAGTATCTGATCCTGTGTTTGATTTCGGCTGAGTTGGTTCTGCATCCAAACAACCGCCATCTCACACGCAGAACAAGCAGCATCATGAAGACCACCAGATGATTTTCTTGCATTCTCATCCACAACGCTCTCTATGCACATACTAAAGTGAGGGGCTGAACAAATATTAAAATATTAAAATAAATTTGGACCACAAATTTGACCACTGAAATCTGACTAATGTTCCAGAGTCAACTTCCCAAAGCTTTTACAGTACAATCTTCTCGCAAGAGAGAAAAAACCTAGAAATCACACAGTTAAATCACCCATGTCTACAAGCTAAGAGATAAGCTAAGAATCCTTCTCGCATACTATATTTCATAATTCCTTTTTAAATATGTTGATAATAAAGCTAAGAGATAATTTCCTATATATTATCTTCATTCAGGTTCTCATATACACAACTTAAAATAATAGAGTAAGCATACACATATAATTACTTGCTGGAATATTTATGTAAATAGAATGTTTACCTGCAATGAATTAAGAATCCACTATATAGATCAAGCTTTATTGTATGTCTGCATTGAAACAAAGAAAAGAAGAGGTGCATATTCAATAAACATATATAACGTTAATTGTAGGATCTAGTTCCTATCACTAAACCAAAAGACTTTAGTTGAAGTACAGGTGTAACTTTATTAGTATAATAATTCTAACAATAAGAATAATAGAAAAGAACGCACTGCAGGTTTAAAAAGAGAGATGGTGATTGAGTAATTAAAAAGAGAATCTACACTTAAAATCAACCAAACAACAAAAGTAATAACCTCAATCCAGGCCTATACCATGTTGAAACCCATATAAACAACCAACAGAATCCACTGTTCACAACCTTCCCACTGCCACCGGTAAGCTCGTACTCATCTCCAAGTAAAGCAGCATAAAAGTTATGTGCAGTAGCATCTTTGCTAGTGTAATTCTATCATAAAAAAACAGTCCACATATTAGACCTTATCAAACTAGATATATCAATAAGATATTGGATAGTGAAAAACCTAACATAATACCTTTGGAACTCCTTCATAAACATCACCCCCATTTGGTTTGTTAATGATGACTTCAGGCCTTGGATTGTCCCAATTGAATGCAATGTCATCATACATAAAAACAATGGTATTTTCTTCTTTCAAGCCACCTTTCCTCGGTATTTGATAGGCATGACAAATATCGGCTTGATGCAACAAGACAAACTAGACATTAGAACTAAATTTATAGAACTAACAAAGAGTATGGTCACACTGTAAAAATTAATACTATTAAAATTTGGAAAATATAAAGAAATATTTTAGGAAAATCAATCAGTTGGATGCTTTACGTGAAAATCATGTCTCTGCCAGATCCACCAACCCTAAACGTGGAGAAAATATAATAAGCAATAGTGAGTGAATATATGATGCTACATCCCGATGGTGATTTTGACGTGCAGGGGAAACAGAGGACACATGAGTGTAGGAAAAACAAAACGAAGGGAAGCAAACCAAAACTTTCAGCACAAACTCTTTGCATATAACGAAACATACCTCAATACCACTCCAAATCTTTCCAAAATGCGAAACTATGAGTCTTCCACACATGACACGAATCATACCATAAATTGTTTTGTGCCTATCGAAAGAAAGAAAAGAGGAATTAAGGTTTTCGAGTTTCAGGAATTTAGAGACTAGGAATGAACGAATAAGATTACTTACCAGAGGAATTAGGATTTTTGAGTTTTAGGAATGAAAGCTCCCACCGCCTCCTTGGCAGCGGCGATATTCTGCTCCTCCCAGCACCGGATCCAGTTCCCCCACGACGCACTCCATGAAGGCGCTCTCGGCGCACTTGAGGCGGTCTGAGAGGGTGACGACAATGTGGCGGAGGCAACACTCGATCTGGTCCATGGACGGTCAGGGAAGGGGAAAGAGAGGTGGCGGCGAGGGTTGTTTTGGTGGAGGAAGGAGCAGACAAGGTTGGTGAAGAGGAAGGGATGGAAGTCGGCAAGCCAGAGGAGATATTTTGTAGGGTTTGGGAAAATAAGAAACGACGAAGGAAGTGCAGAAAAATAAATATATTTAATCTTAACGAAGGTTTTTAAAAACCGCGTAAACTATCCGGGGTTCTTAAAGCCGCAGCTAAAAACCCCTAATAAAATTAATTTTTTTTGTAGTGTATACTGATAAGAATAAAAGTGGTGGTGGCGGGAGTAACATCCGTATTTTTTGTTTAAATACTCCCTCACGTACCATTTTCCATAACTCAGCCCCGCATACCTCTGCGAAGAGCTCCTTCTCCTGCTTTTTCAGCTGCAAAAATATTAACAATAACAAGATGAGGGCACAGCCGAATTCTCCACAAACGTCTACCCACCAAGACGACCCTGATCCCACAACACTGGGGCAGATCACCGAGTTATTATCCACCATGCAACTCGACAAGGCGCCCGCGGTGAACAGCCCTATGAAGCGCCGAACGCCGCCTTCCTGTTATTTGTCCGAGGAGCGCTCCCCCAAGAAGTGCGGCTTCTCCTCCGACCCCATTCCGCCCAACCCTAACTGCTCCATCCTCTGCGGCGGCCTTTCCAACCGTCTTCCGAGGAGAGCAGGAGAAATACGTGAAACATACGAGTATTGAATCTACCAAGAATGGAATGAAAGTTAAATTTTGGTGTCCTTGTGGTAAGGGATGCCAATTTTTGATTTCCGACGACAACTATTGCTATTATAAACTGGCATAGGAAAATTTTCAAACATTGTAGTCCTTTTACTTTTAGTGTATCGTGACTGATCCAGAAAGGAGTTTTATGAGTTCAATTGCTATGCTATCCAGAAAGGAGTTTTATCAGTAATTCTGCTATATCCTATCCAGAAAGGAGTTTTATAAATTATGCTATGATAACTGCACTATTAATCAAATCGACTTCGTTTTCGTACTGTCTCGTGGACCGTGACTCCGACGTCGTTTCCACTCTTGAATTTGACTCGCCGATGCCGCGCAACGCTGTCACCGCGCCGTTTTTGCGGAACCCGAGCTCGACACGTTCTATTACCTCGGTTTGAAAGGAATCAGCGTTGGTGGAGAGACTCTACCGGTACCTGAGTCGAGCTTTGCTGTCGATGCCATCGGAGAGGCGGCATCATTGTCGAAAATTGTAAAAATATAAAAAAAATATTTAAATTGTCTTAAATTTTGATTTAAAAAAAACTACTAAATATTAAAAAGAGACTATTAAATGTAATAAAAAATTAAATATGATTTTTATTCTTAAATTACTATAAAAAAATTTGGTTTATTTATAAATTAATTTCTATAATATTTAATTCCCGTACTTCGTAAAAATCATATAAAATACTTTTCCAATGAAAATAAGCATTTACACTAAAACATAATATAATCTCAACATACCATTTATTAAAGATAATATTTTACATAATTTTCATAAAATGTATTATATGAAATATTTAAAAACAAAACACAATTTCATGTAGTAATTTGAGAGAAAAGGAAATATATTTAACCCTAGTAACAATCACAACATCCCATAGATAAGAGTGAAAACACTTATCATTGCTCAACAAATGCCATGGTTTGTTTCAAGTAGAGTTTAATTCCAAGTGTGGGAATTGTTAGGATATTTATCCTATTTTATCATCATTATAGTGTGTCAATGGTTACCCTATTTATCATGATTATATTGTGTCTAGTATTATCCTATTTATCATGATTATATTGTGTCTAGGGTTACCTATTTATCATGTATTTGTGTATCAATTTATTCTTATAAATAGAAGATTGTGAGAGGGATCAATTAAGCCCTCAAGAATTATTTCTTTTCAATCTTAAGTTGGTATCAGAGCGGGTCGATCCCGCTCTGGTTTCTGTCTCGTAATATATAT